TTCTCATTAAGCGGGCTGGCCGAGCACGCCAACATATCCTGGTGAACATAAACAATGATGCATGCATATTGTGTCGTCGGGGCGCACGCCGCTAGACTGCAGCGCCGCGGAGGAGCGCGAGGGGGTCGGGGGGAGGGCGGGCGCAATGCAATGCGGTCCAGGGCCGGGCTCAGGACTGGCCCTGAGAATCGCTCGATCCAATCTCGAGAAGGCTCTTCAGTGGTCTATATCAGAATAACTGACGATATTGCCGGAAGCAACTACTCTGCTGACTAATGTCCCGACTATCACTGAATTATACTCGCAATATATAATAAACAGTATCATTGGCCAACAGAACCACCAGACATATACTGGTTTCGAACTTATTATTCAAAATGCAATTGCAATTCTGCTATAACACTCCAAAAATTATGCTACAGTCTATAGAATTATGCTGCAAATATATTTCAGAAAGGCTATACAGGGTGATTCACAACTTATCTAAAGAAATTTCGGAACATATGTGTCATGAAAAATGGAGTCAATATCGTAAGAAAAATTTTGTAAAATCCCTATAATTTCCGAGAAAAAAAAAATATTGAAGTTGTAGTATTTGTAACCTTTACCTACCTAGGCTACTGTAGTTTCTAACATCATTCGCCCACGTGATCACAAGCGATTCCGAATATGAAATCCGATTTTATTATCGTTGTTGCGATAATGTTTACATTAGTTTTTCAAGTATCAAAAAAAGAACGAATAAAAACTGCGGATCCGTTTTTATCTGCAGGGATTTGTTTAGCTTTGATCCTACTTTTATTAGATATGACGGATATAATTAAATGCTGATAGGGCCATTAGCTCGCACAGTAGTTGTTTCTTTTCATACTACCTGTGAAATAGGAGATCGCAGAGTTATAATAGTGACCATTCATAGATGTAGCCCTTTGTTTTATTTCTAATCGAAATAGACATTAAAATACTGCTATATCTTTTATAATCACCATCAGTGTTATTATTATTATGGCATCAAAGATAGAATGTAAAAAAAAATAAAGAAAATCTTAATTTTCTTATACAAAAACATTAACCAATAAAAAAATAAACTGCTATTATTATGTAATTCTTTTATAATCTATAATTTTGTAAATTATGTTGAAACTTTCAAAAACTTTCTTTGTGGTGATTCAATATTATTGAATAGGATATCATATTATTAGTATAGACCTTACAAATGAAAAATAAAATGATTTATAAGTTCCCAAGTTGTTAAATTTGTTTGTAGTTACGTAAGTACAATAAAACCAAGTTGCTTACATCTTGTCTACATTGTATGTTTAAACATGAGACGTAAAATGCGTATTATCAAAGTGACTTCCCAAAAACTTTAGTTTCTTTGCAACTCACAAGCGGAATACAGTTAATTTTGCAATCATAATCTAGTGCAACTTTCCAAAAAAACAAACAACTATGCATTTTGACATAATTTCAGATGATTTAAATTACGCCACTGCATAATTTGATCTATGACCTGCTGTGGAAGTAGCTACGTTACTAAAAAACTGTAAAATAACTAGTAGTAAATTGTAACTGTGGAGAAATAATACTGGTTACAAAGGACATTTATGAATAAAGGAACAGAAGAGGGCCCAAATTTGAGCCTTGTGGCAAGCCAGAATTTCCTAATAACTAAGATTCAAATAGCTTTCAGAAAACCCGAACTTTGGAAACTTTGATACATATATTTGTAGCTATAAGTAATTATGATCAAATTTAGTATATTTGACACATTAAGGCATATCTTTTACTAAATTACAAATTAAAATGTATTCCACAAAATTGTAGTCAAACAAATTATATACACATTTAATTTTTTTTCTTGTAGTATCCATTTTAGAATCAGCTTTTCATTTGGTGAACCTTATCCCATACTATGCAGATATCCGAAGACGCCTTATTGGTGCCAAGTGACCTTCGAACCGTAAAAAAAGTCAATCAATGTGCCGAAGGGTTGATTCGCTAACGAAAAAAAATATTGACTCGCGTATTTATCAATCTCACGGCTTTGTTATGCAGATTAGCTAGCTCTGGAGATGATTATTTTTAAACCAGCAAATCTGATGAGAGTCGCCTGATCGCCGGTATCCCAGTGGCGCGGGAGAAGTTTGTCAATCGGGAAAAAGATGTCGTAATTAAATACAGAAATTGAAAATAGATTTTCTCTTACGAGAATCTAAAGTTGTCACTACAAGTTTAGCCAATTTTAGTTGAAAATGATTTTGACAATTTGATAGATCTTGATTCAATATTAGTATGTAACACTCAGATACGGAAATGTAATATTTTATTAAAATACAATTTTTTGCGGCATAGATAAAGAACGCACTATTTTTTTTCTTTTTGCTGAATATAGATTATTTTAGCAGCTACAAAGATTGAGAAAATAGGTATATACACCTCTATTTATGTCAATTATCTCGCATACTTCTGACATCCGACATTATGACGTAATGAAGCGCAACGTTTCACAGTAATAACTTATCGATTTTCTACGTTTTACACATTTTTGCTTTCGTCTAAATATAGAGTATTTTAGCAGCTAGTCAACAGAAACTGAGAAAATAGGTATATACACCTCCATTTCTGTCAATTATCTCACATATTTCCGACGTCCGACATTATGGCGTCGATAATAACCGATTTTCTGCGTTTTACAAATTTTTTCTTTCTGCTAAATATATAGAGTATTTTAGCAGCTAGTCAACTGAGAAAATAGGTATATACACCTCTATTCCTGTCAATTATCTCACACATTTCTGACGTCCGACATTACGGCGTCATGCAGCGCAACTTTACACGGTAATAATTTAACGATTTTCTGTATTTTATTACACAAACATATTTCCTACAATACGTATTCAGAAAACTGATAGTTGCCTTGAAAAAACAGTTCCAACCAAAGACCGGTATATGATTTATAGATCGCTACTGTCCTCGCATCATTAATTTCTAGAGATTCCTGAAGTTTCCCTTCATTCGTACGTGCCACGCGTGTTCACCCAACAACTGCTTCAGAAATAGACCACAAAACTGCTCTTTATTATGCTAATGGCAGATACAGACGGACCTGTCGCCCGTTCGGATAAAGAAATGGTCAATTGATGTATTTTTCGATTAGGAATAAAGATAGTTGTTTATTTAGCTGCTTCTTGTTTCCCAGATGCCTCAATAGAGTATATGTGACATATTTTTTGTACGCCACGTCTGGATAAAGGATGAGTGAAGAGTAAAAGAGCAATATTTTCCGCAATAATTAGGTAACTATTTGTATAACTTGTCGAATGCAAAATATAACAAAAAAAATCAATTTTTTTTCTACACGAAAAGTCCACGGAAGATAAAAAGGAAAAAATCCGCAAAGGATCAGTGTTTGAAATTTAAATAAAAATAATCATGGGCGTAGCCAGTGGGGCAGGGGGGCAACTTCGAATCAATAATAGTTTATTTCTTAAGCTCCTGAAAAAAAATCTGACTAACACAATATTCTACAAATATTTCGAATGAAACAGAATATTTTTCTAAATACTTCTAATTACATGGAAATATCTTGAGTTCTCTCGACAACCTATAAAAATATCTCAAAAAGTTATAATAACCAAAATATATCGAAAATTGCAAAATTCTTAGAAATGTATAAGAAAACCTGAAATACCTACATCGAAATAAACTCAAAAGTTCGAAATTCCTTCAAAAAAAACCTTTGATTTTTACTCTTGATTCATTGACCTTCGACATTTGGTCAATAACCTTCGACCATTAACCTTTTACCTTAACCAGTGGACTTTTAACCTTAGGTGTGTGAATTAAAGGCATTGATCTTTAATCTTACATCATTGATCTTGGAGCTTAGATCGCTGTCCTTTAACCTCAGCTCTTCGACCTTAAGATATTAGCCTTTGACCATAGACCATTGATCTTTGATACTAATCAATTTGGCTCAAACCTTAAAAACTTCGAAATTCCTTCAAAAAACATTTGACTTTTCATTGACCCTCGACATCTGGTCAATGACCTTTGATCATTAACCTTTTATCTTAACCAGTGGACCTTTAACCTTAGGTGTGTGAATTAAGGGCATTGATATTTAATCTTTAATCATTGATCTTGAACTTAGATTATTGACCTTTAGCTTCACCTCTTCGACCTAAAAACATTGGATTTTGACCATAAGCCATCGATCTTTGACACTAATCGATTGACCTTTGGCTCAAACCTTAAAAACTTAAAAACTTCGAAATTCCTTAAAAAAATCTTTGACTTTTACCCTTCATTGATTGACCTTCGACATCTGGTCAATGACCTTTGATAATTAACCTTTTATCTTAACCAGTAGACCTTTAACCTTAGGTGTGTGAATTAAGGGCATTGATCTTTAATCTTTAATCATTGATCTTGAACTTAGATTATTGACCTTTAGCTTCACCTCTTCGACCTTAAAACATTGGCCTTTAACCATAGGCCATCGATCTCTGACATTAATCAATTGACCTTTGGCTCTAGTTCATTTTTCATTGGCACTAGGTCACTGGTCTTCGGCCTTAGGTTATTTACCGGTGATCTTAAGTCTTTGGTCTTGGGTTAATAACCTTTGACCTTGGACAGTTGACCTTAAATCTTTTGAACTTAATTCATTGGCATTAAACCTTACGTCGTTCATCTTCGACCTTACGCCCCTAGTCATTGGCCTTAAACCTTTTACTTTCGGTGAGTGAACATTTGACCTTTCACCTTTTATGCGTCATATTCACCTTAGACTTTTGACTTAACCTTTGACCTTTGATTTTTGAGTTTTCCTATCTTTCCCAGGAATTATTAGATTTCTAACAAATTTTATCATAGTGATTTCTTTTCGCATTTGTGGAGCCCCGAGCTGGGGGCCAACCCGCCTGAGTCCGGGCCTGAGCGCATGACGTCGTGGGGGACGCTTGGAGAGCGTCCAGACGGCTATGCAGCGGCAGTTCGGCACGAGGGCCGATCCGGCTCGCCGCCCGTTTGCAGCGCTCTCGGCACTCACACCATGTAACTTACTTGCTTCTTGGGTAGTTCTAACTAAGGATGGAGCCCTGCATGACTACCGCCGAGGGAGGGAGGACGTACCGTTGAGGTAGGACATTTTTTCTTTTTTTTTCGGGAGAAATACCCTGTGTTCTGCGTGTTGCGTCACGAGGTGCTCTATTTTGGTTGGACCTGTCTCTTAATCAGGCAGCATTAAATTTTGAAAAGTAGTATATGGATATTTTTTTTTTCGAAATGCCAGCGAAAAATTTTTTATAATATTGTTAGGTACTGACAAGGAGGAATTTACTTTTGTCTTACTTAAAATTGTCTTTAGTTGATACGCATTACTTTTAGAATTCATGAAAAATGAGACGATTTCAAAAACAAAGTAAAAACACAGAAAATTGAATATTAAAATAGACTCGACACAAGGACAGAGTTAAATACTTAGTAAAAAAACTATCAAAGATTAGTCGAATTTACAATGTACTACAGTTAAAAGTTCAAAGATACTGTATTTGTAAACGCAGAAAAAAGGTTTATAAAGAAAAGATATGCAAAATAAAATTAACTGAAATCTCACAGAGATATTTTAACACTGTCAACTTTGTAAGAATTAAATACTAAAATTTAAGTATTTTTATAAGTAATGTATCACTTTTCAGATACATACAGGGTGTCCCGTTCATGTATCAAAAAAACTTGTGTGCAAATTCCTCATGGGAAAATAATGGGAGCAGTTCATGTAACTGTTTTCGAGATACAATGTGTTGAAGTTGTTGTTTTCCAAATGGTTTTCTTTAATTATCTTTAAATCGGCTAAAAATAAAAATGTAAAAATTTGTACACGAGTAAACATCAACTGTGCGTTGAGAATAATGAGGCAAGGGTTTCTTTCTGAAAAGCAGTGTCGCCGATACAGGTAATTGCAGAGGTACATTCGAAAAAAAATAAATAAACGGTATTGTAAACTCTAACTAAAACGTACTACAAAAAAATGGTATACTAGCGTCGAAATTCGGCAACATGTACCATTTTCGAGAAAAATTAACTTACATTTTTTTTTAAAGAGGTACATTAACGAAATATTAAATTGAAAGAGGTCGTTACCATTGAATGAATTGAAGACATGTATCTACCGACAGTCTTTGCATTTAAGAATAATTTGAATTTCTTATCATATAAAAGAGTTAAATTGTAAAACATCGTATTAACTTATTAACCAAACAAATAAAAACATTAAAATTTATTTTAGGTTTAATGTAAGCTTGTTGTAAAGTAACATTTAAAAAAGTAAATCAAAATAAACAAATTACGGGAATTAATTATCTATTAATAATTAATTTTAGATTTTGTAAACTACCACTACTAAAATAAACAATTGTTGAATGGACTGAATTGTTGATGGACACTGATAAGGACAGAAAAATACTAGGAAACAGACTCGGATAGAGACAGAACAAAATAGCTGCACAATTAAACAAATGAGCAAAACTCGAAATACTACAGTAGATGCTGAACTTATCCCCCATTTGCTTCTATGCAACTTAATTTTTCTCGAAAATGGTACATTCTACCGAATTGCGACAAATATACCTTTTTTTATATAGTATGCTTTACAAAATCGTTTAGAAACGTAACAAATTTTGACTCAACATATTTTTTTTATTGTACCCCTCCAATTACCTGTATCGACGACAGTGCTCTTCAAAATGAGACCGTTTGCACATTATTCTTAACGCACAGTAATTGATGTTTACTCGTGTACAAATTTTGACATTTTTGTCTTGAGCCGATTAAAAAACCATTTGGAAAGAAAACAACTTTAACACATTGTATCTCAAAAACAGGACATCTAAACATTACATGAACTGCTCCTATTATTTTCCCATGAGGAACTTACACCCAAGTTTTTTGGAAACATGAAAGGAACACCCTGTATTATGTAAATAAACAACTTTTGCAAATTACTTTATTAATACTTACATTATTTTTATACCATATTTTTATTTAGATCCATCCAAATATCATCTCAGATCACAAAAATTGTGAAATCAAAGTTTCTTTACTTGTTTTTTTTTTAACTAAAGTGAAGAGTTAAACTGCAATGCTTTCGGTTTTTATTAAACTTTTCCTTAAATACAACTTCATCCTTTCTTTTTAAACACTATTTACATTAAAAAAATGAAAATCCGAAAAACAAATCTTATTTATTTTGCATCTTACATCACATTGCTCTATGTTGATGCTGGCCTTTTTCTTGATGCTATACTGTCCCAGCTACTTGAAAACCACGGTCCTGTCAATCTAATAGAAGTAGGTACCAAAAAATTGGTTTGTGCACTCAAAATTTTTTAATAAGAGTCTATTTTATTAAATTGCATTCCATTTTAGTTAGCTAAGAACTATTTAACTAAAAAAAGTATATTTACCATTTCTTACTAGCTAAGTTAACATTTGTATATTATACAGTGTCTTCATAAATTCCCGAGTCCCACGTGACCGCGACTGTTAGACAACCAAACTTACAATGGAGTCAGTGATTAATACAAAATTCCCTAAAGATAAATGGTTAGTCCAGTGTAGTACATATTACATTTCTTTACAAACATTGAAATTTAATCTGCAAAATATGCTTCTTCTTTAATAGAAATTAATCATTCTTTACACTTTTTTACTTACAAAAATAATCATACGCCTCTAGGATATTTTAAATTTTATCCCATTTTATATTGAAAAAGTATTTTTTGATTGAGAAAGGTTGTCCATTAAAAAATATAGTCTCTTTTGTATCCACTTTCATTCAGAGATATTGAAAATATTGTTAATAAAACAAAAAGTTTCAGGGCTTTATTATTTTTTAAAAACTAATACGAACGTCTTTGGATTGACATTCCATCTAGAGTTCGAGTTGGTAATTTTCCTTGATAATATCGGAAACACCAACTTAAGAAAATCAAATTTACTGAGCGCCGAAACAGATCTGTTATCGTGGGGCTCGAGCATTTATGAACGCACTATATAAATTATATATCAATTTTTTTTAATATCGAACGATGAGTCTAATTTGTGTCCAAAAATATAGTATGACCTGCAGTTCTATATACAGACCATAACAAAATCAGCCACAGATAATGGCACTAAACTACTTTTGGCTCAAATCAATAAGATCAAAATATTGTAGGTTTCTATAAATAAATTTTACGAATTGCTAATTTATATGAACCCAGCAAGAACTATGGAAAAAAGTCAAGAGTACTGTGCACAGAAGATATTCAGAGATGTAACTTTTTCGAAAATTTTAACGCTATATATCAAAAAAAATATATAACACAGGCTTCCTGAATTTTCCTAGTTAAAATTAAATTAACAGCAACCTACTAGATAATGTATCAATAGAAATTAAAAATACACAACTTGCAATAAAATATGTTTTATTTTTTTCCTCAAAAACGGTGCATCCTACGAAAAAAAATGAAGTAACCAATTTCATTCAAAATTGATGGCGGATTTCTAATAAAATATCAAAACTGGAGAAAATCAGTGGCGTATCATTTTTTTGATTAAAAAAGGTTGTGGCCTTCTCGCACGAACGCCACTGGTGCAAGTAGAAATATTCGGATCACCCCAAAAAATGCACGTTTATCCCTTCAAAGCGTTTTTCAAATTACGAGACAATATCTTTAAAACTCTTTGAAATAAGTAATAAAAATAAATACAAAATTAAAATCTAAACACTGTATTCGGAAACGAAGCATAATTCGACCTAAATTTATATGAACTTTTTTTCACAAAATAACTTCGGCAACCACCTCCTAAAATATTTCGTACTTATTTACAAACACCCTGTAGATAATGGAATTGAACTATTTTTGAGGACTGATTNAATCTAAACACTGTATTCGGAAACGAAGCATAATTCGACCTAAATTTATATGAACTTTTTTTCACAAAATAACTTCGGCAACCACCTCCTAAAATATTTCGTACTTATTTACAAACACCCTGTAGATAATGGAATTGAACTATTTTTGAGGACTGATTATAATATTTTCCAACACTATTATTATATAAAAACAAAATAATACCGTGAAATTCTAAAAATATGTTTTAAAAATTGCTAATCTGGCGGTAAAAGCTATACAAATACCTAGTAAACATGTTATTTCCACATCAAGAATTACATAAAAATATGTTTATACACGTACATCTACGCCTCTGATTTGAGCTGACACTTATTTTTTTCAAACCAAACACCATTTCATTAATGTACTGTGCGCACAAAATTTCGATTGGATATCTTCAGTTGTTTAGAAAGTATTTGAAGGCAAAACAATTAAAAAAAATTAATGATAAAAAAATGTTCTTAATCTTGACAGGGAAAGCGCTTCTTCATTGTTGATACGTTTGATACGTTATGCCCAGTACAAAGTTAAAAAAACAAATAAATGTTTTATATTTCAAAAGTATTTCGGCACCCTGTATAACAAAACAGCCCCTCACTTCATATTCCCAATTGAATTGGAAACATGGAAACTAAAGAACTAAAATGTCAACAAAATTTCCATAACACAAAATCAACTTTTTAACTATACTTTCCCTCGGATTTTATTTAAAAATAGTTCCTTAATCCTTTTTTGTCATAGTTGTCAACAAAATCGTCTATTTATAAGTTAATTTCAAGACGCGTTGGGTTCAACGTAATGGCGACAATATTTTTAGCGAGAACTGTTCCCACATCGCTAATTATTATTGGCAAAAAAGAATCGTAAAAACCGCCTCCATAAAACTAATCGCCTAGATTTACATCTTTGAAAATAAATATAGACTAGTGTCATACCCTTGGCATAGCAGGAAGTCCAGAAGATAGCCATCAAGTAAAATAAACTTATAAATACTAATATATTTTTCAATAAACACGTAACGCTTATTAAAATCTGCGTGTACATCTTTGAATCTGGAGTTGTAAGTTGGAAAAATTCACAATTTTATTTGCTACAGTGGTAATAACTGTGGACGTGTGCAGCATCTGGATAAGATTTAGTACACCTAATAACTTTTATGTAACTTCATTATCTAACAAATAACGTTTTATTGGGAAATTTT